GTTACATATACCTTGGAAGGGATACATCAGCAGAAGCTCTGCTGGCAGGATTTTCGGAATCCCCATCAGCGAATGCATAACTTAGAGATTTTTGCCAACAATTACATTTAAATTACTCCCATTTTTCATTTCTTTTCAGAAGAGACGAACAAATTTCCAATGAAGAACAGCCACAGTCAAATGTCTCGTTCAAGTCACCGACCAGCCTATCTGGTCAAAATTCAGCCTCATCACAGACGGTACAGCCAAACCAGATCTCCTCGAACCTCGCCGGTCGCTACGACAATTCTGAACGGAGGGATGTCTGTCAGTCTGGTAGGGATGGGGCAATTTTGGGGACTCGTCAATGCGGCCTTTCGGAGGTGGACACCGCCAATTCAACCTCTAACACGCCTGCTCTGTCCCAGAACGGCCCGACGACCAGTCTCTCCGACGACCTTTCTGACATCTCCGGAGGCTCCAACTTCCAGGCCGATAGGCCGGTTGATGTAGGGGATAGCAACGAGGAGATCAACTCAACGGAGGTTGGCCGGACCAATGGTGCTCGGGTTCGGATGACGAACGGAGGTGCACCTAATGCCAGCCCTCAACCGGAACGCCAAGACGTCTCTACGGAAGGCAATCTTCAGATGGACCAAGTTATACACAATTTTGACAAGGTTAACATTAAAATTTATGCTTCTGTCTGATTTACTGATGGTCACGAAAACAATACTTAATTCGAAAAATACAATAAAGTTGTGTAAACATAATTTATGATTATCTTGGTAGCACCAAAAGTTTACTTAAACACAGTTAAGTTCACATACAATAGACATACATCCAACAATTTGACTATTTTTTCTTACAAATGCCATAAATACATAATAATATTACTATAATACTGCGGTAAATCAACTAAACTAAAATATGAATAGCTTGAGTTTGTAAATGTCTAAATGATTCATAATTATAAATATATGCAGCATATAAATGCTTGAAGTAAATTCACAGATTCACTAATCTTAATCTGAGGTACAGTTTAAGTCATAATAACTGTACTAAATAAACAAACCTCAAATCATGTCTTTGCTGAAAGGCATGAATATAAGTAATGATGAAACAAAAGTCTTTACTAATTTGTTATGAAATAATCGAACGCTTGTTTCAATTATTTTCACTGCCAAAGTTTGCATGATATCATTTCCTAATCTGAACAAGTCATGCTAAATTACTTAGCCTAAGAATGGATGGAGACTTAGAACACCCTATTATCGTATTTAGGCTGATTAACCAGAACATCGTGCTTTGGAGATATGGAAAATTGCGAAATGGAAATGAGATAAAACAGTCTGCTAAAAATTTGTTCATATATTACTTGAGTAGTATCGCTTCTCTCTGCTAATTAGCCTTTAATTTATCTACTCATCTTTATCTTAGCATGGTTCATTATAAAGCAAAATGAAAGTTTGAACTAAAGTATCACTTATCCTCAAAAATGAGTAATTTTATTATCAACGCTACTACAGAACTCTGCTCAATTCATCGTGGGCAGATTCACCATCAGTTTAAAGGATATCAATCGAAACTGGCGTTTCTAGACAAATAAAACTAAAATTCTCTCAAATTCTCTCAAATTCAGCCCTTGAGCTATTTTATGACCATTTTAATTGAGCTTAATATTTACTCTTTTCAAAGAGGATAGAAACTTAACTTACTATGAATCGAGAGTGAGCTTCCCCTATTTGACTTAATTTAAAATAAAGAACATATGTTAGCCAACCCATAAGGCTATAAAAATATTAACTTTCTTTTCTGTATAACCTGTCTAGTTTTGCGTTGACTAATGTTGATGCTAATTTATTTTAATGCCATATTCAGCAATATTATATCATATTTTATATTTTCTTTGCTCTTCGTCAGCCTGAGCAAATTGGGTCATTTTGGTGATCCAAGGTTTAATAACAAAATTGCTGACTCTTAAATGATGGATAAACTTTATTTTAGCAATGAATTTTTATCATCTTTGTGGGAATTATTTGGCAAAATAAGGCGCTTTACCTTGAAAAGGCTTAGATGTCGGCCTTTAAGGTGAAAAGCTATCTCATATGACTATATATTCCTAACATTTCATGACGTTATTTTAATTCTTATTGTTTTATCTTTAATCATATTTGCATCAATATCTTAATTGTTATTTACAATGCAATCGTCTATATTTTAAATTCTCCAAATCTTTATCGTTATTATTTTAATGCATTTTCATTCATTGTTCTATGTTGATTTGCCTCTAGAAAAACTCAGTCTGACACTTTCCATCCAAATATTTATTCGTATTCTTTTGTCTCATTCAGAAATGGATTTGTATAACTAATATGTAAAGAAAATTCTTTGCTATTTTAATTTGTTTTAATTTTTTAGTATATATTATATATTAGTTGCTGTCATTTATTCTTTATTTTATTCTCCAATTGTATTAGCTTTCAGTATGTGGTCATTTCTGTGCTTTTTCAAATATTTTTGAATGTGCTTCCAACTCCCTTTTTATCTTAATTTTTAAACTGCGATATTTTATTTTACTAGTTTCAAATCATTTAATGATGCTTGTCACGCTCTATTGTAAAAAATATTATTTCTACTTACAACTTTGCCGGTATACACTTATTTGCCACTCTTTTTATTACATTCATTAATTTTTCTTAATTTCTTTGTATCTCTACTTTGTTCTCAAATATTATTTTTGGTTACTTTATATCTATTTACTTATTATTTTAGACGTTGAAATAAAGCTTGTACTTGAGAAGTATTGTATTATGTCTTTGTTCTCATACTCGCATTTATTTAAGCGAATTTTTATCTCCTTATATCATCCGCCCTACCTTTGAACCGTGTTTGCAGGATAAAATCACTTCTGCTGCTGAACATAAGGAAGACTTAAACGAGGTCTTTTATCAGTTTCAAGAAATCAACAGCTTTAGTCGTCGCCGCAGCAGCCGTCTTTCGAGCTTGCGACGAAAACGCTTTGATAATGGTTTATCAGTTGGTTCAAATAGAGCTGGATCATCTGCCGGAAGCAGCCAGGAAAATCAGCGAGAGCGACGCCTCGCGATCGACAAAGATGAATTCTTGTTGACTCCGTCTCGATCCTCGGCTGAACAGGGGCCCTCTTCTCTTCTATCTTCTTCCTCCTCCTCCCCATCTTCTTCACTTTCCACCTCCACCCTCTCGTTGGTGATCGACACAGTTGCTCCAAGTTGTCCGAGTCCCATCCTCAGGAAGAATGAACTGCAACATACCGATTGTTTTGCACAACCTAAGGTCCGACTGGATGGTGATGACAGCCGATTGGCAGAAAAGCCGAAAAATTCATTCCAAAAATTCCCTTTTCGAGCGATAATTGCAGGCAAAGAGGCGTGGACAACCGACAGCACTAACTTGCCTGAACTGAGTCCTCTGATGGTTGGCCAAAAAAGCGAGCAAAGTGAACTTTCCCCTAAAACGAAGGAGAATAGAAAGTTTTTGATTCAGAATTGCAGTCAAGGATGGTCAGCGGAAAACGGCTCCGATGCTGATTCAGCCGATCGACAATCTCTAATGACTCATGAAAGCACCAAAGGGATCTTCTGCACGAGTGTGAGCAACAAGTCTGAGTTCCAACTGAATGGTTTGGCAAAGCCTGTCGAAGGTATAAACGGTAACTGTGAGGCGATTTGGATTAAGGGGAAGCAGAATGAGGTGGCCTCCGAAACGGCTACGGCTGGCCAAACATGTGCCAAGTCAGCGCACCAACTGACCTCGACAAAAATGGCCGGGATGACCTTAAAGGAGCTTTCTTTACAGCCCAAAAATGGGGTTCTGACAGCACCAAACGGTGATGAAATAAACGGATTCAGTTTCAACGGCCTTAGTGACGAGACGAAAGTGAAGAGGTCCGGCTCATCATGGCAGGCCGGACAACTTACCCCAGAGACAGTTGCGTTGGCAACCAGTAGAGACTGCAAGTAAGTCGTATTAAAGCAGAGGTGAATAATAAGCCAAATTCGACTAGGTTTTGGTGTTGTCATGGAGAACAAGTAGGAGATAAGCTCTTGGTAAAAAGAGACCAGAGATGTCTGGTTGACAGTTTTATTCGGAAGGCCTTTCGAATTCACAATGCGGTGGGCAGTCTCATACAAATCCTCCTTGCAATGCTAGCACAAATAGTTTTGGTCAACCAAACATAGAATATGACCACCCTCTCTGCACAAGGAAGCTTGGTTATGAGTGCCCTAGAATAATTTATAGCTAGCCGATTGCCCTAATACCATTCCCAAATTTTTCGCTCGCGGATACAATAAATTTGGTTAAACATCTTCATCACCTTATACGAAATTGGGTGAATACATCTCATATTACTGATTTACTGATGGTCACGAAAACAATACTTAATTCGAAAAATAAAATAAAGTTGTGTAAACATAATTTCTGATTATCTAGAAAGTCCCAAAAGTTTAATTAAACACAGTTAAATTCACATACAATAGACATGCATCTAACAATTTGACTATTTTGTTACAAATGCCATAAATACGTAAAAATATCATTATACTATTGCGGTAAATCAACTAAAATATAATATAAACAGCTTGAATTAGTAAATGCCTGAAGGATTCATAGCTATTAATATATGCAGCATATTAATGCATGAAGTCAATTCACAGATTAAATAATCTTAATCTGATGCATAGTTTAAGTAAATGCGAGTTTTCATTATATTACTTCTTAAAAGAATAATATCATAATAACTGTACTAAATAAACAAACCTTAAATCATGTCTATGCTGAAAGGCATGATAATTCCATTTTACTATTAGAAGTCAGAATGAACAAAATTCTTTACTAGTTAGTTATGAACTGATGAAAAGCTTGTTTCAATAACTTTCACTGCCAAAGTTTGCATGATATCATTTCCTAATCTGAGCAAGTCATACTAACTTACTTAGCCTAAGAATGGATGGAGACTTAGAACACCCTATTATCGTATTTAGGCTGATTAACCAGAACATCGTGCTTTGGAGATATGGAAAATTGCGAAATGGAAATGAGATAAAACAGTCTGCTAAAAATTTGTTCATATATTACTTGAGTAGTATCGCTTCTCTCTGCTAATTAGCCTTTAATTTATCTACTCATCTTTATCTTTACCTGGTTCATTATAAAGCAAAATGAAAGTTTGAACCAAAGTATCACTCATCCTCAAAAATGAGTAATTTTATTATCAATGCTACTACAGAACTCTGCTCAATTCCTCGTGGGCAGATTCACCATCAGTTTAAAAGATATCAATCGAAGCTGGCGTTTCTGGACAATTAAAACTAAAATTGAAAGTATTAAGACCAAGATGCTGTTGCTTTTTTTTGTAGTCACAGTATTCTTTCGTTGTATAGAAGTTGTTTGACCTTGTTTTCTCAACTCGCTCATATTGGTAGGAAGACTTAAATCAATGCACCTAGTCCGGAGTCCATAGTATGCATAATTATTTCCAAAGTCGGACCGTGGACGCGGTACATTCCCAAACGTTCCGCGTCAGTGAGTCCTGTCATTCCTAGCACCATACAACAACTCGTCAAATGGATAAGTGAAGCCGATCCTTTGACCAAACGTGTGCTAAACAGTTATGGTATCTTCCATTCTGCCCTGGCCTATTCACACTTCCTATATTTTCCAATCACACTTTCACTGTTACAATCTGTACCGTGCTTATTCCTAATGCTCCTTCGAGCAGCATTCATGAAAACCCTTTACACTTCACACTGTCGTGACCCTTCTGCTGGAAATGTTGACCAGAGTCTGTCATATTGTTACGTAGTCCTTCCCTGGATCCTATCAAAGTCTCCC